TTGCAATAATTTTTATTACTTGGCATTTTAGAGGATTTGATATTTTAGACAACTTTCATTATTTTTTATACCACCCCATAGCCAGTTTGTTATAATAACTTGATGATAAATCAGGTTAGAGCAGACGTCAGAGCAGACGTATTTGTTAACACACTTTAACATATACTTTACCAAAAAGTGTGGATTTAGAAATATAGGTGCTGATTTTTTGTCATTCCTGCAAATAACTTGCCAAATCAAAGCTTGTTTAGCAAACTTATTATCTTTTGTGTATTAAAATTTCTTATCTGCTTTTCCTCTTTATTTGGAGTTATAATAGACAGCACCAGGAATTCGCTGGTGATCATACTTCATATAAGTTTCATCTTTAATAATACAGAAATTTTAAGAAACATATTTGCCATACAACTTTTTTCGATGGATTCTAGCTTTTTTTTGAATTTCAGAACATTTTGGCACTTTTTGTGATATGAATACTTAAAAAACATGTTTATATTAAAATTTTTCTGACAAAGCATGAGAAAATCCTCACATTTTGTGCGTTCCTTTAGTGAGAGACTTATTCATAAATTATTCATAAAATCTGTTTTTAACTAGTTTTATATCTTAAAAGCCTCTTTTCCATCTTTACCAAATATGCATTTGATTGGTTCTGTTTAGAAAAAAAACGTTAAACAACACGACTAATGATGCAGAAGTGTATTTGCAACTTTTTTGCTACTGAATTGTAGCTAAGTTCAGATTTTCCATAAAATTTGTGCAAAATATTTTTTTTAATACCTTCTTTTGTTATTTTTAAAACTTATTTTAAGTTAAATAGAAAAACTAAAATTTTTTTTTGAAATCATTACATGTTGCCAACAAAATACAAACACAATGAAAAATATGTTAATACAACCACTGAAAAAAAATTACGTATTTACTTTTTCACATTTATTTCGTATAGACGCTTTAGCTATTGTTGTCAATTACAAAGAACATAAGTTGTTCTGCATAAACCAGTTTTGAAAAATTTTAAAACATATTAGTAAATTTACCTTTAAGGTTTAGAAAAAAAAAAAAAATAAGTATGCATTAGAGTTAGCTTGATGGATGACGTTAGAAATATGTTAAAGCTTTTGGGTTAGATTCATGTCGCGGAGCAAACTATACAACTTTGTTCCTCACCTGCCTCGTTTCCCTACAGATTCGGAGCAAGGAATATAAAAGGTTTTTTGAAAAAATCAAATCCCTCCTCCACACTCTACTAAAAATCTATCAGGTTTCAATACAAAGAGGAGAGCAAAGGTGTTGCAGTTGGTAAGCGGAACTTTTTTAAGGGGTTTCAGTCTGTCCATACAAGGTTTGATGAATTCATGATCTACCACGAGCTAGATAAAACTATGGAGCGGAGTTGTTAAGCTCAAAAATCTCCAAACCACTGCCTAAAAATTACTATCCTCCCTTGACTCTCCCTTTGGTTCCCCAAAAAATATATTGGACTTAATATTTACTAACAACAATAATTTTATTTTAAATTTGTCTCCTAATGCTATACTAACTAATAACACTAAGGGTTACTTTAGTATTACCTGGAGAATCTTAGTTTCAGAACCGCTACCCGAAAATGAATCTCAATTGTTTAGTTACAACTAATGATTTACGAATCTCAATTGTTTAGTTACAACTAATGATTTAAATGTTTAGTTACAACTAACTGCTAATTATTATTCAATATCAAACTTTATTGCATCAATTGATTGGGATATTATATTTCTACACAAAAATGCGAATCAAATGTTTAATATTTCTTATTATTGTTCTGCTTGCGAATTTTTTATCCCGAAGATTAAAAAAAAAAAAAAAAAAAAAAAGTATGATCCTTGGGTTACTCTACATATTAAAAGCTTAATCCGAGCAAAAAAATTGGTTTGACACATCAAATGCTCAACTAAATGGAAGAATAAAGTACTCAAAACAAATTACAATTGTCTTAATCGTTCCGTTAAAGCGGAAATATTTAAAGCAAAAATATTACATGAAAAAGAAATAATATCAAAATCTCAGAACAACCCAAAATTCGCCTACAAATAAATTAACAGCCAATTAAAAATTAAAGATAAAATTCGTTCTTTCAAAAATGCTTCAAGTGAAATTACTGAAACTCTTCCCGATAAACTTAAACTTCTGAACTCTCAATTCAAATCTATGTTTACTCTTGAAAGCAAATCTTTTGAAGTTAAACCTAAATGCAATTATAATAACAACTTGGATTTTTCCATTGCAGACATTAATGAACTTACTAATCTAAACCCTTACAAATCTTTTGGACCTGACGAGTTGCACCCTTTAATACTTAAGATATGTGCCAAAAACATCGCAATTCCGCTTAGAAAAATCTTTTATGAATCTTTTAATTCTATAATAGTACCAGGTCTCTGCAAATGTTAGTCTGATCTATAAAAAAATAGGAAAAACTTTTTCCTGAAAACTATCGCCCTATTTCACTTACCTCTGTTGCGTGCAAAATGTTTGAAAAAGTTGTAAGGAATAAAATCCTGAAACACATCAATGATAACAATCTGCTCTCTACAAATCAACATGGCTTCCTTCATCATAAGTCTTGTATAACCAATCTAATAGAGACTTTTGATATTATTTCGTCTTACCTAGCATTGCACCAGTTATAAATGTAATCTACCTCGACTTTGCTAAAGCTTTTGATTCCGTACCTCACACCAGACTCATGTTAAAATTAAAATCATTCGGAATAAACGGCAAACTACAACAATGGATTACGTCCTTCTTAGTAGACAGAAAGCAACGCGTTACAATTAACAATACTATCTCTGACTGAGTTGATGTTCTTGGTGGTGTTCCTCAAGGTTCTGTTCTCGGCCCGCTACTCTTTATTCTTTTTACAAACGATCTTGCCCAACTTACAGAAACGTCTGAAGTATTTGCAGACGATACTAAACTTTTTTCTAAAACTTTATCGCAGACTAATTTTGTTGATCTGCAGGACCGTCTACGCTTAGTTTACAAGTGGTCAAACATTTGGTCACTTAAATTAAACATTTCAAAATGCTGTGTTATCAATTATGGTATAACCAATCCTATGTATAGCTACTTTTTGCAAAATAACCAAGGTGTAAACGAAAGTCTAAGAAGCTCTATTAAAGAGCGCAATTTAGGAGTCAATTTTACATCTAACCTCAAGTGGAGTACCCATACTTAATCAGTTGTCTCCAAATCTTTACAAATTCTTGGTATGCTAAAAAGGACATTCACCATCGTAGATAAAAAAAATGACTCTCAAATTATATAAAGTGTTTATAAGACCACACCTTGAATATGCAGTGTCTGCTTGGGTCCCGTATTTAAAAACTGACTTAGCTTTGGTTAAATCTGTTCAACGTAAAGCAACAAAATGGGCTTTAAACTTGAGAAATCTTCAATACTATGAAAGACTTAAAAGACTAAATCTACCATCACTCAAGTTTCGACGCCTACGATGCGATCTAATACAAATTTTTAAACTAATACATCGATTTGATATAATTAATAATATATATCAACCAAAATTTATTAACTCATTGTCACGTGGTCATTATCTTAAAATAAGACGTGAATATGTTCCAAACTGTCTTCCAAGACACAACCAATTATATAATAGGTCAGCAAAATACTGGAATGAACTACCCGAGCAAATAACTTTATACTCAACTGTACTTTCTTTTAAAATTAGATTAGATCACTGGTTGAGGATAAAATCCGGAACGAATATTTATAAAACTGGTTGTTTATAGTAGGGTGTTTTCCCTGCTCGCTGTATGTATATATGGTATGTACTTTTTACGGCTACAACTATAATAATAATAATAATAAAACCTGAATGACATTGAAAGTACAAAAAAATAAATAAAAATAAAGAATATACTGTCTTGTAAACCCAAGACCACACCTAAAAATACCACCTGTGCAGTCATAATCACTTCTGAAGACCAAGTTTGTCCAGACTTGGATTCTCCGACATCAGTTATCTAAATTTAAACATAAAACTGTCCCATCTAGTTGAAAAATTATCGGGACATCCTATAACCACCTTAAAACTCTTAAAACCACTCTTAAAACAACCACCTATGCGTTTATGAGCACTCATAAAAACTAAATATACCTAGAACTAATTTTCCTGACCTCAATTACCTATATTTATACCTTATGCATGTTCAACCTAATTTAAAAAACATCGGTAAGTCCCATGACTACCCTTGAAAACCCCTTAAATGACCATCTCTTTAGTCATGATCAATCCAAACTTAAAATTAAACGTGCAAACCAATTCCTTGACCTCAAAAACGTCATAAATAGTTTTTACATTTTTAGACAATTCTGGCACACAGTGGTACGGACAAACAACATGTTGAGTTAAATAAAATGTTGTAAAAAGACTTAAACAAAAACATTGTTGAAAATGTAAAATAAATGACCTGCAACAACAACTAACTTTTGTTTATTAATAAGATTTATTATTCTACCCGGTTGTACTACCAGGTTGGAATAAAAAAAGTTTTTATATAACAATAATGTTTGTAAACACTGAAATTTTTTTTTATAAACAACTATTTAAAATTAAAATTTATTTTAACTACAAAAATAAAAAAAATGAAGAAAATATTTATTAGTTTTTAAAACTTTTTTGCCTGTTTGCTTATCCTATGTTCCCTTTTTTACAGAAATGACGAATTCGTTTAGAAAAAAACTTATGAAAATATATGATAAAAAGAATTGAGTTGTATTGATAAAGTTATTGGCAATTAATTGGCAAAAAAAAAAAAAAAAAAAACACCTTACGACCTAAATAACATTCGTTTTTTCTTAATTTTAAAGGAAATACATCCCACACTTTTTTGAACATATTTTGAGGATATTTAGAAATTTGAACTGACGACTCTGTTTTTAAACGTGCGGATTAAAAAATGTGTTTGTTTATAAATCTTGTAAAAAAAAAAACTAGAACATAGGAATACAAAAAAATATATATTTTTGCTGAGAATTCAATATTTTTCATCGAAAATTTATTTTGAGTTTGCTTTGCAGGTTTATGTAGCTTTTCTCAAACAAGTTGTTCAAGCGAAAAAAGTATAAAAAAAAAAAATAAATAAATAAAATTAAATCTTTATAAGATTGCTTTTGTTTTCTTATTTTTTTTAAATCCAAAAAGTGTACACAACTCTTTTCGGTAATCTTTTCTGTAACAACCATACATCAAAGGGTCAAAACAAGGATTTAAAAGCAGCAGAAAGTATGTCGTCAACAGTACCTCTCGAGGAATGTTTGGGTTGTTTTGATATAACACCTCAGTAACGGCAGTTGGAATCCAACAGACAAAGTAACTAATAGCAACTAATATGCAAACTTTAATTCCTTTTGTACATTTCACTTTTCTGTTAATTTCTTTCTGTAGTTGCCAGCGAGCTATTTGAATAATTTTGTAATATATTCCTCCAATTAGCAATCCGTTTAAAACAATGCAAGAGAAAACAACAATACTGAAAATAATGTTTATTTTTTGTTTGCGGTTTCTCGCCATATTTGCGTCTAACATCCAAAAAAAGGGGATTAGAGTCAAAAAAAAAGCAAACAGCCAACCGATAATTATCATATTAACTGCTCGTTGCCATGTTATTTTTTTTTTGTAAGTGAACGGCATCAATATTGAAAAAAACCGATCAATTGCAATTAAAGTTAAGTTAATAGCTGAGGCAAGAATATTAAAACTTACAATACTCCCACAAATATAACTACAATTGTTAGGGTAAGATAATTTAAAGGCGCAGTACTCACATGGTGGAACTGATATTCCAATAAGTAGGTCACTGACACTAAGTGATAATACAAACAAGTTTTGCTTTGTTCTCAATCTTTTTCTGACGATAAATAAACAACAAATGATGACATTACCGACATATATTGAAATTGTTTCTAGCGACAAAAAGAACCAAAACAAAACTTTTGATGTATCCGACAGGTCAAAATTTAAGGTTACGTTATTAACTTCAGTCATATTAATAATTTCAGCTTTTCCAAAATTAGAGAATCTTTAATCTTAAAAATAAATAGTTTCTTGACTTGCTAATTAGTTTTTTAAATATTTTTATTTTAAGTTATAGCCTATCTAAACTTTATTTTTAACAAATAAACAATCGATGGCTAGGATAATATTTGAGTTTTATGAATAATGATTTTTTACATATGGTTTTTAATGGACTCGCTTAACATTATAAAAAAGCAAACAAAAAACAACAATTCAGGTTCCTTTGTGGAACCAAATAATGGGACAACCACGATTTTAAATGGCGGCATCTTAAATAGGCATTTAAGATGCTGAGAAAAATGCTGAGTAAATTGTAAAATAAAATCTTTTTTAATTTTCTATTTAATCCAATTATTTTTATTTATTTTAAACATAGTTTGATGAATGATAAATTATATGTAATGTAGAGTATATATATATATATATATATATATATATATATATATATATATATATATATATATATATATATATATATATATATATATATATATATATATATATATATATAAAGTATTTATATATATATATATATATATATATATATATATATATATATATATATATATATATATATATATATATATATATATATATATATATATACATATATATATATATATATATATATATATATATATATATATATATATATATATATATATATATATATATATATATATATATATATATGTATGTATGTATTTATTCGTATATTACATATTTTCTTATAATTATATCAGATGTTTATTATTTATAATAATCCAATATAACTATATATCACATAATTTTTTAATACGTAATGCAACATTTTTATTTAAGATTTTTTGTAATGCAAGGTATCACATTACATACCATTGTTATTATTAATTAGATAATTATATTTTAAAAAATCCATAAAAAACGCATATTATTTTTTTAATAATAAATAGATAACATGTTATTTATTTAGACATTTTAATTATCTGAAAATATGATTTTTTTTTTGTATTTTGTATTTTGAATGAGGTAAAACATAATAGAAAGATTTTCATAAAGAAAAACATTTGAATAAAGGATGAAACCCACGTCGTAGACGCAATTTTAAAAAAAGGTGTAAAAATTGATGTTATTTTTACTTAATACGCTTGTAAAGCGAGTTTAATGATTTATTGATAAACTTCAAGATACAAAAATTGAATAAACACAAATAAGAAACCATTGCAAACCGCTAGTTGCAGAGTTAGACTTTTAATAAAGGTTGTAATAAAAGGTTTAATGTAATTTTAATAAAATTTATAAAAAATGATGTTGTTTTACTTAGTAGAATCGACTTAAAGCAAATAAAATGATTAATTATAAATATTAGGTAAAAAATATGGAAGAAACATAAGGAATTATTACGGACGGCTAGGAGCAGTGTTAGAGTAGAGTGTTCGAATCAGTTGTTATTTAAGAGTGGACTTCAAAATAGCTAGATACATGTTACCATTTGTTATTTATATTATATATTACCACCGGAAAAGTACTTTTTTTTTGGCCGCCACTAAAAGAATTGTGAAAATACGCTGAATGAAAAATGAGATTTATGTAAGATAGTATGGCGACTAGCTGAGTGTTTTTGTATTTAAAACAGTTTTAATCACATCACATTTATTTTCTTTTAGCAAACAAAATTTATTTGAGCACTGTTAACAGCCATAACATAAGACAGATTTTTTTTTGCTTTAAATCAGTTCATTAAAAAATTTTCATTAAAAAGTTTTAAAGTGAATAATCATCATCTTTTCCATAGTATCGTATGAATAACAATTAAAAGAATAAAAAATAGGAACAAGTTTGTGACCAGAAAAGACAAAATTGTAATTAAAATAAATTTCATTTATATATATATATATATATATATATATATATATATATATATATATATATATATATATATATATATATATATATATATATATATATATATATATATATATATATATGCGTATAAATAAAATAAATTGAACCAAAAAGGCAAAAAGTATATATGGTTGAGTAATTGCAAATGCAATTACACTTTCTTATTAGCTCTCTGTCAATAAATAGTTCCTGTTTTTTTTGTTGTTGATTCTAAGGAATACACCGGATTTTGTGTTGATAAACGAGAAAATAATAAATTAGAAATAAGAAGTATAAGCCGCCTCGTGGTTCTCTTTTGGTTCGCTTCTCTTCTGCGCAATAATATCTTGCACAATAATAATGCCGCATCTGCAGGTTTAATGTAATAGAATTGCGAACGGATGATCTTGTCCATCTGTCAAAAAATTCAAAACAAAGTGTAAAAAGTGCAAACAAAGAAGACTTTATTATCTGAATATATTAGAAAGATCTCAATTGTTTTTCATTTTTTATGATTTGAAGAAAATATTGAAGAAAAATAAACAGCGCATATGCCAAATTATTTAAAATTAAAAAAACAAGATAGAGGTAGTAAATAAAAAAATTCGAAAAAATAATAATAATCAACAAACCAAATAGTTATATAGGGCAACTAAAAATGTTAACATACGGTCTGCAAATTTTAGGGTTACTGCTTGCAGCCATATTTTTTTACCTTCTTTCAGTTACTATAAGTGTTTATTTTTTGTTACTATAAATGTATATTTTTACCGTCAAAGAAATTTTCCGAAAAATTTCTCTTGAGTTGAGAAAATATAATTATGGTTGAAAAACTATGCAAATTGTCAAAACCATTTTTTAAATTTGTCGGGAGTTATTCGAATATTACGATTTTTATAATAAACACCTTTTAAAGGTGGCCTTAAATTAGCAAGTTTCAAATAAGTTTTTTTATTTTAATCTACAAGTTTTATAAATTTTTTCAGAGAAAATAAAATCAACTCCACATTAGTTATCATACTTTTTATAATAGTTTCTACAATAACTTCAAAAATATTTACTATTGAAACTGACAGTAAAAATACAAATCCTTGAATCCAAAGAATGGGATTTAATTTTTTCTGTATTTTGAAATGTTAAATGCTTTGTCCTTTAAATAATCCAAATAAAGTGGCGTTTAACAAGTTCTGGAGCATGGTAGAAAACACCATGGTAACATCATTTAAGAGTTTAGAGTGTCATTGCGAGAACTGTTGAATTTTTATTTTCTGGTATCTGTCATCTAAAATTTGTCTAAAAGATTTAATAACAACGCTTCTGAAGAGCCTATATGTTTCAATAAAACCTATATCTTTAAATGCGGATGATTTTTTTTTCTGTCAATTAAAGCATGTAAAAATAATTACATGTTTTAAAGGACATATTGTGACATAAATGAATATTGACCATGGTAAAAAAAGCTGCATTTTATTGTTTAGCTTTGGAAGCCAACCTTTGATTCTGGCTAACACTGCAGATGTTTTTTTTTTAAAACATTGTCACGTTTTGAAAGTTCGTAACATGGTTAAGAACCTCCAGAAGAAAATAACGCTCCATTAACAGCATCAAAGATGCTTCTATCACATTTTTAAACTCTTTGGATTATATTATATGTAGTACTATCAAATAGTACAAATCAAAGTGAGAAAATGTAACATATATATATATATATATATATATATATATATATATATATATATATATATATATATATATATAATATATATATATATATATATATATATATATATATATATATATATATATATATATATATATATATATATATATATATATATATATATATAGTTGGGTAGCACCGTACACGGCAGGTTATTCCGAACACTTAATGTGCAGCTTAAACTAAAATATGAAAATATAGCCTATGCAAAAGATCATAATATGCCGAAGCATTGGCTGGGATTGCAAGATATTGTTTACCACCACCAGAAGAGCGATGTATCATATTTGATTCACATATAATTATACCTAATTTTTATGCAAACTAATAACTTTTTATTGATTAAAAATACATTTTTATTTACTTTATTTATTAAAACAAAATTTTTTAATACTTTAATTCACTTGTTTTAAAACTTGTATTTGTAAATGAGGTATGATCGAGTTGTATCGGACACATGTTTGGAGTGTGGTTCCGGATAATTTAATTTATTTACATAATAAAAATGAGCACCTTTTTTATGTAAATAATAATATATTTAATATAATACACAAAGTCATAATAGTAATTCATTTAATAAAAAACCCTAAGATTTGAAAAAAGTGTTTTTGAAGTGTTTATTTTCATTAGTAAAAAGATTTTTTTTGAGAACAGTTCAATGTTGAGGGTGAACAGTCTTGAGAAAAGCCCAACCCTAACTAATTTTTTATTATATTTTTGTCACATGGGTAAAAAAGAGTTAAAATCAGGGTTAAACTATGTGTTAAATCGGGCCTGCTTGCTGATTTTGAAACTTGCCTTTTTTTCTAACATTTTTTTTCTAATGTTTTGTATATTATTAAAGTACACAATTTAATTTTTTTGTTTTAAATTCGATAAATAAATGTTTATACTTTTAAAAAAAATCTTTTGACACATTGTTTTCTGTTAGTACACGCGTGTACATGTGTACAATCTATTTTTTCTTAAATGTCCGGGGCTACCCCACTTTCCCCTATATAATTAGTGTGCTACTCACATAAGAACAAAGTGAAGTTATCAAGAAAAGTTTGGATCAGAAAATGAGGTTTTATAAAAACAAACTTTTTTAGCAGAAGATGAAAAAGACTATTCGAGAGATTTGCGACTTGCATTAAAAATTAACTACGGTTTTTCAACAAAGTCAACACATTTAAATATTATTTATATTCAAATTTCGTGTGAAAATCGTGAATAGAGTCTGCTTGTCTAAATAAATCAGCTTTTCATAAAAGATAAAAATTTTGTTATATTAAAACAATAAATAAATGTAAATTAAAGAATAAAATATAATATGTAAGTTAAAGTATAATATATAAATTAAAGTATAAAATAATATGTAAATTAAAGTAAAAAATATTTATTAACAATTTTTTTTTTAAGGCAAAAGGATTTTTTATTCCTTTTTGAGACCATGTAGATGTCAAAAACATTAAGTTCTTTTAAGTTTTTAAATTTTATGATACATGGCAATGTG